AAAAAAAAAAAAAAAAAAAAGTGTGTACGGTATGTATGTATATGTAGAGATAAGGTAAATGTACTAAAATATGTTCACGGATGAGTCTAGGTAAATTCAAGTGTGTTCACTTTACTACTCACTCTTTTACCTTTTTTATAGGAGTGAAACTTTTCAAATAAAAAGTTGGGAGAAAATTATCACTAAGAGTCCTCTTTCTGCTTTTCTTTAAGTTTGAAATTTACAATAAAAAATGTTTTAATGAGAACAGTTTAACTTACCGCTAGGAGCTGTCTTATAAGCATGTCTGAGGCTTTCTCAGAAATATTGCCAACAAAAACCGTAGTAGTGGGACCACAATTTTCATCATTTTCTTTAGCCTTTAAGCCTGGGTGATCCTTTCTTGCTCCCAAATGCTTTCCAACCATGGACACAGTAGGTACTAAGACCTAAGGTGATAAAAGGCAATAAAATTTGATCAAGCAATTAAACTTCCTATCACATAATGTAACATTAGGTTAAAACATCAATTTTAAAGTAGTAAATATATAGCATATTTAAGCTTCTGCATTCTTGGATACTTAATCTAAAGCTCCTAAAACACATAGCACATTTCATTAATCTAAACTTATTCATTACAAATAAACTTGCAATGCTATTAACAGACTACCTTTCTTCTAAAAAAAACTTGAAAAAGCAAATAAAAATAACTCAATTTTATCTTTAAGACATAATTTTTAAATTTTAAGACATCGTAAACCATTTAAAACTCTCAACTATATCCAGGAAGTTTTTTCACAACTGTACTCTCAGCACCAGTATAAAAAATTTCAATTATCCCTGCTAATCCTCTGGCAGACTATTCAAACACCGCTTAGCACTCTCCCACTTATATTTTGCCTTTTCAGTTATTTATGTTCCTATCTTATTTCCCCTTTATAGCTTTCAACTTCCCAGAGGAAGATCGTTGTACTTGACACCAAATTCAACAAAACACCCTCACTATGCACTGAATAAACAGTGGTGAACTAAGGGAGCTGCTCCAATCCCAAATTCTACCCTTTCCTAGCCTGAAATAAAAGGGGTAAGAGTATTTGTCCCATGGAGGCTTTTCAAAATAGCCCAACTATGGGTGTCCAATATAAGAAAAACTGGATTACCCTTGGGCTGCAGAACCAAATCTTAGTAGTCCGCCTCGCAGCAGATTCCCATTTACCCATGTAGTTCCCCTCTCCCTTTTACTATGAATAACACTCCCCTTCGTTCTCAAAACCCACAGATATCTTTAAAAAGTTGAGAAAGTAATGAGGGCTACCCTCCTTCATAATAGAATTCCACATGAGGCCTATTATACCAAGTAATTCAAAGAAAAATTCTGGCTAAACACAAGTTAAGAGAGTTGTTATTATTCATGCACCAGCATTCTTTAAAAGATGCCTGTAGTGTTCAGAAGCTCTGATAAATGCGGACAATCAAGGTTCAGTACCTAAGAATGAATAATACAACATTTCAGGAGAAGGCTTTAGTAAAGCTTTACAAAGCTTGAAAACATCATACTAAAGGACAGAGAAGACTAAGATGAAAATATTAATAGCTTTGAGAGGGCTAAAAATTAGGGAGGTGGGAGGAAAGAGTGAAAAGGTACTCAACACAAATTTCATTTCAAAATTTAAATTTTTCCAAGGATCATTCCTACATTCTTAGAAGAGATTAGAAAGATCATTCTTCCATCTCCCAGGACCAAGATAAGATGAGGAAATGATAAAAGAGCCAAAGTCCTCAGCCGGGCAAGGTGGCTCATGCCTGTAATCCTGGCACTCTGGGAGGCAGAGCGAGGCAGGAGGCTCTTTTGAACTCAGGAGTTTAAGACCAGCCTCAGGAAGTGAGAGACCTCTGTCTCAACTGAAAATATAAAAAATTAGCTGGGTGTTGTGGCTTGAGCCTGTAGTTCCAGCTACTTAGGAGGCTGAGGCGGGAAGATTGGTTGAGCCTAGGAATTTGAGATTGCAGTGAGCTATGATGATGCCACTGCATTCCAGCCAGGGCAATAGAGTGTGACTATGTATGTATGTATAAATAAATAAATAAGCCAAAGTCCTAAATCTGTAATAATAAGTATATGAAGGATCAAGAGAGTAAGGAAAAAAAAAAAAATCATAGGCCGGGCACGGTGGCTCACGCCTGTAATCCCGGCACTCTGGGAGGCCGAGGCGAGCAGGTTGTTTGAGCTTAGGAGTTCGAAACCAGCCTGAGCAAGAGCGAGATCTCATCCCTACTAAAAATAGAAAGAAATTAATCGGACAACTAAAATACATAGAAAAAATTAGCCAGGCATGGTGGCGCATGCCTGTAGTCCAAGCTACTCGGGAGGCTGAGGCATCACTTGAGCCCAGGAGTTTGAGGTTGCTGTGAGCTAGCCTGATGCCATGGCACTCTAGCCTGGGCAAAAGAGTGAGACTCTGTCTCAAAAAAAAAAAAAAAAAAAAAAAAAAATCACAAAATTATCTAGGGAGCATATTTTAGGGGCAATTGCATACATGCACAGCTGAATGAAAATGATACTTATTCAAATAAGTGGTATAAAATGCATGGGTGCTCTCACTCTCGTTATTCTTTTAAATGTTTGTAAATAATTTATTTAAGTTTATCAAGTTGTTTAGCTTTCAAAGCACTAGCACTACCATAACTTTTAATTCCTCCTTTAAATTATACTCACAGTTGGAGCAGGAGCCATAATGCTCATTGGTACAGGAATCATTGGGGTTCCTACAAAAGAAAAAAGCATAATGAGTCTTAAGAATAGTATTATAGGGAGAGGGGAGAGGGGAGGAGGGGACGGGTGTATGCATACACAAAGAGTATGATGAGCACCGTCCGGGGGATGGACATACTTGAAGCTCGGACTTGGGGGGGATGGGGGGCAAGGGCAACATACGTAACCTAAACATCTGTACCCCCATAATATGCTGAAATAATAAAAAAATAGTATTATAAATAACTGCATTCTACATCAACTACATACAAATAAGTACCCTCATTCATAGTTAATGTAAGTGCAATATAGGACAAATGAAAATAAAATATTGATGAATAACGTCTTGTTTTCAAAAGCAATGTGGCATCAGGTCAATCTACATAAACTTACAAAATACCTTATTCTGAAAGCAAAACGGCTACCACAACATCCTTCTGCCTTAAGTAATAATAAAATTCTGGATAGTGATCCATTCATGTTTATATGGTTCAGCGATCCTCAAAACCAGCACTTTTCATAAACCCATACAGGTTCACTTTATGGTGAACAATGGAATTAATGAATCCTTTACAAGTAAAAATACATTGTACAACATGGTTGACTATAGTTAACAATGTAGTGTATTCTTCAAAATTGCCAAGATTAGATTTTTAGGTGTTTGCACTACAAAAAAAAGCATGTGAAGTAATGTATATGTAAATTAGCTCAATTTAGCCAGTCCATAATGCATATTTATTTCAAAACATGTTGTACACAATATATACAATTTTGTCACATGAAGTAAAAGCAAATCCTTTGAAAGTTTTTTTTTTAAGTATCAAATGAGAAATTAATCTGAAAACCCAAGAATCTTGCTATTCCAGATTCTTTCACAGAAAATGAAAATCATGCAAAAACTGAGATCAACAGCCAGGTGCGGTAGCTGATGATGCCTGTATCCTGGTGCTTTGGGAGTCCGAGGTGGGAGAATCACTTGAGGCCAGGAGTTCAAGACCAGCCTGGGCAGTGTAGTGAGACTTTGTCTACACATACACACACACACAAATAGCTGGGGCACAGTGGCCCACACCTGTAGTTCTAGCTACTTGGGAGGCTGAGAGGGGAGGATCAATTGAGCCCAGGAGTTGGAGAATACAGTGAGCTATAATCATGCAACTACACTCCAGCCTGGACAACAGAGCAAGACTCTGTCTCTAATTTAAAAAAAAAAAGGTCACATCAGTAATCTCAGCCACTATCAAAGAGGAAACCAATCTCTTAAGGAAGAAACTGTACTATTTGAGAACTAAGGAAAAGGCTGCAAAGAAAGAAAAATTAAATGTTTGACTATATTCCAAACATAAATTTTTAAATGCTTCCAAATATCTTAAGGTCTGAAATTACCCTTCAGTTCAAATTTAATAACAATTTAAGATTATTTTCCATCTAAGACTGGTAACAAATTCTTAAACATTTAATACTATCCCTTTATCTTCTTTTTTTTTTTTTTTGAGACAGAGTCTCACTGTCACCTGGGTAGAGTGCGGTGGTGTCGTCATAGCTCACTGTAACCTCAAACTCCTGGGCTCCTGGGCTCTAGCAATCCTGTTGCCTCAGCCTCCCAAGTAGCTGGGACTACAGGCTCTCGCCACCACGCCCAGCTAATTTTTCTATTTTTAGTACATTTGGGGCTCTCCTCTTGTTCAGGCTGGTCTCTAACTGCTGGCCTCAAGCAATCTTCCTGCCTTAGCCTCCCAGAGTGCTAGGATTACAGGTGTGAGCCACCGAGCAGGGTCCCTTTATTTTAATTCATTTAAAATAATTTCAGTTTTCACATTATGATTTTTAAAAGGTACAAATCAAGATTCCTATCAGTAAGGATACAGCAAACTGTAAAACAGAAAAAAGAGACTTCAGAATCAAATTAGGGTTCTATCAACTTTTAGTTAAGCAACCTTGGGCAAGCACTTTAACCTCAGTTTCAGTTTCCTCAATTCTATTTCCTCAAAGTGCCTGTGAAATTGAGATAATTTAATGTGAACCCACTTAAAACTAAATCAAGTTGTATCTAAATTTTTCACCTTAACTTTACAAAACAAAACCACTTCATTTATCAATTGTAATCTATGTGTAAACTTCCTGTTAAAACATTCACAAAACGACATCTTAAAAAAAATTTTTCCTTTTTATAGTTACTTAAAGTTTGATAGTATGTTTCCTACTCTAACTTATTAATTTCATGCAATATAGAATTAACACTGAAAAAGACACTGCTTCATTTAAGATCTGTGCATGCTAAAGTGGAAAAAAGCAAAGTATACAAAATGTGAACAGTATGATACCCATTTGAGTTTTTTAAAAAAAATAAGTGGCTATAAGCAAACATACTGGAAAACGCACAGCGTATCTCTGAAGAGAGACACACTAGAAACTGGTAAGAAAGGCTGCCTTTGTAGAAGGTAACTAAGGAACGCTGGGAGAAAACTTTTTTCTGTATACATGTATTGCTTTTTAAGGAAAAATAACGGCTATTTCCCAAATTTATTTTGTAATTTAACATATACTGTCATCACCACATACACTATCTCAGAGTTCACTTAACTGTACTCATAGGCAAAACAAGAAAACTATACATGAAGACTAATATTGTGGTTTTGAATTATTACAGTAGTTTAGCATACTATTGATGCTGTACACAGAAAGCAGGTAGTGACTGAGCTGGAACTGAAGTCAAATTTATCACCCAGGTAAAGTATGTTTTCCTAAACAGAAATGGTATCATATGCTATTACGAATGGAATCAGAATTATAATAGCATTATCACGCTGTGAATAAATGCCCACGTTAGTATGCCATCACTCAAACAGGCAACAAAAAATACCAAAAATCTCGTTTTAGGGTCTATAACCCATATTAAAAGATAAGAGCTGGGTGTGTGGTGGCTCACACCTGTAATCCTAGCACTTTGGGAGGCCAAGGTGGGAGAATAGCTTGAGGTCTGGAGTTCAAGGCCAGCCTGAGCAACATAGCTAGACCCCTTCTCTACAAAAAAATAGAAAAATTAGCCAGGCATGGTAGCATGCACCTGTAGTCCCAGCCACTCAGGAGGCTGAGGCGGGAGGATCATTTCAGCACAGGAGTTTGAGGTTGTATTTTTTCTTTAATAATTGAAAGAAATTTAAAATCCTTTCTATAAACCCAATGTACTGGTAAGGAAATTAAAGCATGGATTTTCCATTTCTCACCTCTCCTGATTTTGAATAAGTGATTAAGCTTCACTTCAAATTCCTTAAATTTCTTCACAAAGAAACAGAAAGTAAACTATTCTTCCCTATACCTCCTACAACACCTGGGCTTTGCATCATGGTTATGGTAAGGTCTATCAAAAAACAAATCTGCATTGAGACTATAAACATATAAATAAAATCAGGATATATGGATGAAAGAAAAAAACTGATGCCCAAATGAATACTTTCCTTCTATAGTTATTAATCTATTTGATTGCTGATAACTATTTTATTCAGTTTTCTGCTAACATTATTTTCTCAACCTCCCCTTCAGCAGCATTTAGTCTATTTATGGTCCATTATAGAGCAGCTAAGTTACTGTTTAAAATTCTTTAACTGTTACATGGGATAATTAACCAATAGTAAATTTTTACATTACTCTTCTGGTAGCAAATGATAACAAATACACATCCATGATTATCTAGAAGCACAACTTAAAAGTAGCATTGATATAAATGTTTAAAAGTATTTGTATTAATAGTGAGTACATGTGGTGTTAATTTAGGGAAAAAAAGTAGTATTTGTAAAAAACTGCATTCGACTCCACAATATACATACATAAATAACTTCTGATTTTTAAAATTATGATTTTCCTTCAAATTCTTCTTTATTTATTTATTTAAAGCTAGTCAAATTTAGCAGTGGGGAGTTGTATACCAACTTTAGTGAAACTAATGTTATAAAGTTCTGATAACCTACTACCATCAGACCAGCCTCCCCCAAATTCTTGAAGTTTAAAATGATATTCCACAAAAACTGTCATGCTTATCTTGTGGCTTTTCAGACCACAAGGATGGAAGGTCCCCAAAGCTGAGCCTATATCAGTAAACTGCCTACTTCAAAATTAAGGAGCAGCTGAATCTAAAAGACATGGCCAGGCACGGTGGCTCACGCCTGTAATACTAACACTCTGGGAGGGCTGAGGTAGGAGGATTGCTTGAGCTCAGGAGTTCAAGTCCAGCCTAAGAAAGAGTGAGACCCGGCCTCTACTACTAAAAAAGAAAAATTAGCCAGGTGTCGTGGCATGTACCTGCAGCCCCAGCTACTAGAGAGGCTGAGGCAGGAGGATGTGCCCAGGAGTTTGAGGTTGCAGTGAGCTATGATGACTCCAGTGCACTCTACCTGGCACAACAGAGAAAGACTCTTGTCAAAAACTAACTAAATAATAAAAAATTAAAAATTAAAAATAAAAATAAAAATAAAATAATAAAATAAAATAGATCGGCTGTTTGTAACCTACATTCTATGAACCAACTCCTGTAAACTGTTTAAACATCCCAGATGATTTTGATACTTAGGCAGGTATATAAACTACTGCCCTAAAAAAATGAGAATCCATCTGAGAGACACCCTTAGTAACATAGTCACATACGTAAAATTTTCCTAAAGTAATATCATAATGACAAAAGTACAAGACAAAAAACAGTAACGATAAACTTACCTGGAGGTACAGGTGGAGGAAAGCCAGGAAACTGTGGGGGTGGGATCCCTGGTGGGAGTGCTGGGATTCCCATGGGAGGGCGATTCAAATGAGGGGGGAAAGACATTCTTACTGCAGCGGTCTAAAGAAAAAAACCACGACAAATCATTTTATTTGAAAACTTTACAACTTGATATGCCTGGTTTGTTGGCCTTCATTTTTAGAGTATCTGCAAAATTCTAAAGTTTTCTTACCCAAAGGAGTTGGCAAAGACCCTCTTTTCTCTGTCTGTCCATTGAGAATTTTTAAAACTTAGATCTTTTCTAAAATAAGCTCCCAAAATGTACACGATCTAAGTTCAGCATAGACTCCTACAATCATGTGGGAATACATATAAAGGAAGAAAAAAATTTTGAGGTTCAGTTAATATCCAAAAATTAAATACCATACATCAACGAATCTTTTTAAACCAAACTCAGAATCCAGATGGTATCTAACAGGTTTTTTTTTAAAGTGTTCTGATGCATCTATTTTTTAAATACCCATCAGCACCCTGAAAACTAAATTTACAAGGTTACACAGTATCTGTTGATTCAATCTTGGCCAGATCCTAAAGGACAAATGTGTCTGTAAACTACACACATGGGAGGGAAAAACTGCTGACATCGGGTCACATAGTAACAACTCAAATATAAAGAGAACATACAACTTTTGACAGTAAGAAGTCGTAATTTTTCTTAAACTTAAAAGTAAACCTCTTAACCATTCTTGAATCAAATTTAAGAATCAGAAGCTAGCATTTGATTTTTAAAGATGTAAGAACATATTTAACTGTTTAGTTTGTAACATTCAAGGAAACTGTCCTTTAGCTACATGAACAGAAGTATTTAAAACTTTTCCTCCATCACAATTTTATTTTTGTTGACATACTTAAGCATCCAGAAATATAGGAAAAAGTAGAAAACAATGTTAGGATGTCCTAGGAGGGTTCTGTGCACCAATTAAAAAAAAAGCAGCTGGGCACAGTGGCTCACGCCTGTAATCCCAGCAACTCAGGAAACTGAGGCAGCAGGACTGCATGAGGCCAGGAATTCAAGACCAGCCTGGGCAACAATAGCTAGACCTCATCTCTACGAAAAATTTAAAAATTAGCCAGGCACGGTGGCACATGCCTATAGTCCCAGGTACTCAGGAGGATGAGGCAGGAGGATTACTCTTGAGCCCAGGAGTTTGAGGCCGAATTTGAAACTGAGTTATGATGATGCCTCTGCACTCTAACCCAGGCAACAGAGTGAGATCTTGTCTCAGAAAACAAAACAAACAAGTAGCCAAAATAAGTGGGATGATTCCCCTATCATTGATTCTCCAAAATTTGTGAATTGATAAATAGAGATATATCTGTTGGGACAGTAAGAAAAATTCCCCAACCCATAAATGAAATTCCCCTACTCCGCAAGTAAAGTCTAGAGTTGATAAAAGCTATTTTAAAATTTTTTTCTCTATTATTTTCTCTCTTTTGTCTTTTATAATTGTTTTACTCACCCTTCAGAAGAGAGGAAATAAAAAGTGCAAGTCTTCCACTTCTTGCTCCCTAACCCCAACAGTTTGGTATATATTGCTGTGTTCTTCTAAATATCTTTCCATACATAAAAACTAATACGTAATAATTTGTGTTTTCCTACAATGTAATCATGCTATGTCACATGAATTTCTCCATCATCACTGACATCTCTTCCTGTCCGTTCATAAAGTTTTATTCCACTTTTTGTAATGTAGTAAATTATTACAATACAGACACAAAACATTAATAGTTGGCTCTACATTTTAGGTCTTAAAAATAACGTTGAACATTCTTGGACTTATTAGGCATATAACCAACCATATGCATCTGATTAGTACTATATACACTTTATCTCCAAATCATCCCCCAAAACTGGTGTACAAATTTATATTCCCACCACCCGTACATAGGTATGCCCTTTCCTCACCATGACCAGAATAAATCACTGTTAAACTTATAACGATATAAGTAAAAATGCTCTTATTTCAATTTACATTTTCCTTATCACTAATGAGGTTGAATATCCTTTTACCTGTGTATTAGACATTTCTTTAAAACAGAAAAGCATGTCCTTTGTGCTCACAACTGTTCTCCCTCGAACTGTTCCTTTGACTTAGTAATTAGGATAATACAATATTCTATAAAATCTAAACTTCAACTTCAGAAAACAGTATACTTAAAATATTTAGAAAACTCTACAGGTAAAGGAATTCCTAGGATGATTTCATGTACTTAGCAAATAAGGTACTGGAAATGCTTTAAAATATTAGGTAGGTATCAGCATATATTAACACAGGAAAAACACAAGATTATAAGATTGTAAATGTGTTGAATTTTTAAATAATCTTTTCATAATACTCTTGCCCAAAAACAAAAACAAGTATTCCAGAAGGTGTATCTCCTTTTTAAACAGAGAAGGCTACTGTCCTACTTACAGAAGCTCTTGTATTATCATTATAATATTCTATCTCAGCACTTTCTTAGGAGGGCAGTTGATTTTAATACCTGTTGAATAAATAAATTGATTAATGAATCAATCAGTAAACAAACTCTGAGGAACTCAATAAACAAGTTTATTAAGCTACCTCATGTTGGGTACTATGTTAGCAATGGGCCTGTGCCTGGCCTCACAATGGTTATAAGATTGGGGCATGAATTCATCTTTAGAACCACTTTTTCCCCACTAGTATAAAATATAAATAATATTTAAAAAGTAAAACTCTGTATTATATTCCTTTTTTTCCCTTTAAGATAATAGCCCCTCCTACAGAAATTCAGAAAACAAACATTTCTGGTGATCTTTCACAATTTTTTTTTTTTTGAAACAGGATTTCTTTTTTGTTTTGTTTTGTTGAGACAGGGTCTCACTCTGTTGCCCAGTCTAGAGTGTAGTGGTGTCATCATAGCTCACTACAACCTCAAACTTCTGGGCTCAAGCCATCCTCCTGCCTCAGCCTCCCAAGCAGGTGGGACTACAGGTACACGCCACTGTTTCTGGCTAATTTTTCTATTTTTATTAGAGATGGGGTCTCACTCTTGCTCAGGGTGTTATCAAACTCCCGAGCTAAAGCGATCCTCCTGCCTCTGCCTCCCAGAGTGCTAGGATTATAGGTATGAGCCACATCGCCCAGCCAATCTTTGATAAATATTAATGCTCACTTAACATAAAACTGTATGTTGAAACAAGCAATTTTAGAAAATGAAAGTATCAACTACTTATTTCAACATACAGTTTTATGTTTTGCCATGTGAAAATGATTTGAGTAAACTTTTATAATCAATAAACAAAGCCTATCAGTTGTTACCTACAGATGATAAATAAAACAAATTGTGATACTCTTATAATAATAATTTATACAGACATTGAAGTTGGTAGGTACTTTGTGGAAAAACAAAGCAGGGAAGAGAGCCAGAGAGTGGTTTATTTTAAATATGGTGATCGGGCCTCACCATAAAGGTGAAGATTTCAAAGATCTGAAAGAGGCTAAGGCAGGAAACTCTCTACTCCTATCTGGGGAGAAGAACTTTCCAAACAAAGAAAACAACAAATACAAAGAGACTGAGTGAGATGGGCATGGCATGTTTGCAGGAGGACCAGCAAAGCCAACAGTATGACTTGAGCAGAACAAATAAGGAAAGTCAAATATAAATACTGAGTGTTATCTGGGGAGGGTATTCAGAGAGCATAGGGCTTTTAACACACTGTGAAGGTTTTGGTTTTTACTCTGAATAAGGTGGAAAACATTTGAAAATGTTTTTTTTTTTACTTGATTTACATTTTAATAGTATCACTAGCCACTGATTTAAGACTTGAAGAAAACAAGATGGAAGCCAAGAGACTACTGTCATAATCCAGGTAGACGAGATGATGGCCTGGAACAGGAGGTAGTGATGAAGGTGGTATCAAGTTGTTGGATTCCTGATATATTTTGAAGGTAGCCAATAGGATTTGCTGAGGAATTGTACGTGAACTTTAAGGAAAAAGAGAGATGTAGAGTTATTTCATTAGCACTGAAATGATTTAAATAGCATTTTTAAAAATATTAAAAGTGTTTTACTTTTGGAAGGTTCAATGTACCTTGATCTGCTAAGTATGAAACTTTATGGTCCCAAATAACAAAAACAAATACCTATGATGGAAGTGTTCCCCATCTCTAGGGTGGTAGTGGTCAAGCAGGTATATGCATTTGTTAAAACTCACTGAAATTAAAATGGATGTATTTTATTGTGTGTAAATTTTATCTCAATAAATTTGGTCAAAAAAAGGGAAAAAAATCATTTATCTCTACTATCCAACATATACATGCACTTGGCTTTTCTCTTTTCCACTTTTTTCTCTGTATTCTTTCAAACCATTCCTTTTTTTGCACTCCTGAGGATACCATAGGTATACGAAATACAGCAAAATACTGCTTACAAGCATTTCTCTATTGCGGACTTATCCAGATAGAAACAAAGTATTTCACCCAGGATAGATTTTTGGACTAGCTCTCCATCATCAGTACGTTTGGTGCCAAATTTCTGGTAAAAGTGAACCCAAAGATTCCCCTAAGCAAACACTCACATACAACTCATTCATTCATTCAGTAAACATCTACTTGCAATTATGAGCCAGGTCTGCAGAATTATTCCAGAATTATTTTGTTCTGTTCCCAAAGAAGAACAGGAAATGCTTGATTAACAAAAGTATTTCTTTTACTGTAAAGCTTTTCAGAAGCATGAAAATACTCAAAGGTTTTGAATCTCCAAAAAGGGAGCTGATCTGACAGATTTCCACTTTGTCATTTCACCATTTTCACAATGATTAAAAAACAACACTATCTATAAAGAAAAATTAATGGTTGCCCAGAACTGCCATAGAACAGAGTGACTTGCAAACAGGTAGGAGGGATTCCTTTGGGGTAATGGGTACACAACTCTGTACATTTACAAGTGAATTTTATATGTCAACCACACCTTCGTAAAACTGCTTTTTTAAAAAGTTGGTTATCATCCTGCAGAGGTGGATTTTATGAAGAAATAAAATTTTAAAACGTGGTATCAATTCAGGACAACTGGCAAAATCTAGTTAAGACCTGTAGATTAGGTAATACTGTATCAGTGTTAATTTCCTGATTTTGATCATTGTATTGTCGTTAAATAAGAGATGTGCTAGTTTTTAGGTTAACACTTAACTATGGGTTAAGGGCATCATGTCTGCAACTTTCTAGCAAAACATTTCAGAAGAAAACTGGAGAGAAAAAGAGGATAAAGCAAAATGGTCAGATGTTAACATTTGAGGAATCTGGGTGAAAGATATTTGAGAATTTTTTGTACTATTCTTGCAACTTTTTCGTAAATTTAAAATTATGTCAAAATAAAACATTTTTAAAAAGCAGTAAATCTGGTTGTGGAAATACTCTTCCCTTTATTTTCTGCACATTTCAAATTTTAAAAAAAGAGAAGCTATTTAAGAAACTTCAAGAAGGAATCAAAACCCCCTTTTAAGAACGGCAGTGGTAGTATTAGAAAAGACAATTAGAAAATGTTAAAAGTACACCGAACATCTCTGCAAAGATGTTAAGATTCACCAATTAATTTTGTTTCCAGGGGCCGGGCGCAGTGGCTCACGCCTGTAATCCTAGCACTCTGGGAGGCCGAGGCGGGTGGATCATTTGAGCTCAGGAGTTCGAAACCAGCCTGACCAAGAGTGAGACCCCCATCTCTACTAAAAAATAGAAAGAAATGAACTGGACAACTAAAAACATATATATAGAGAAAATGAGCCGGGCATGGTGGCACATGCCTGTAGTCCCAGCTACTCAGGAGGCTGAGGTAGTAGGATCGCTTGAGCCCTAGGATCACTTGAGGAGTTTGAGGTTGCTGTGAGCTAGGCTGACGCCACGGCACTCTAGCCAGGGCAACAGAGTGAGACTCTGTCTCAAAAAAAAAAAAAAAAAAAAAATGCCTCCAAAGCTACAAAATAATCAAAATAATTTTGCTCCAAATCAATGTATAAATGAGAAAAGTAAATTGCTAATTTGTTTGTGGACAGAAAGGTAAGTTAACTTGAAAACTCCAAATTCCTATTAGGTATGAAATAGTTACCCAATGTTAACATGGACTAATCTTATTAAAAAATATATCCACCAGCCTGAGCAACATCAAGACCCCGTTTCTACAAAGAGTTGAAAAATTAGCCAAGTGCAGTGGCACATGCCTGTAGTCCCAGCTACTGGGGAGGCTGAGGCAGGAGGATGGCTTGACCCCAGGAGTCTGAGGTTGCAATGAGCTATGATGATGCCACTGCAATCTAGCCCAGGTGACAGAGTGACCCTGTCTCCAAGAGGGGGGGAAAAAAAAAAAAAAAAATATATATATATATATATATCTCCAGAGCCTCAACACAGTGGAATAAAAAGACAGCAAACCACAAAATATAAAAACTTAGTCAAAACCATTATTAATACACAGTGCCTATATGCAACAGTGGGACAACATTTTTTTTCTAAAAATCTTTTGGTACTCTACAGGGGGTGGGAGGACCCACTTTTGCAACCAAAAAGAGAAAATCTGGTAACCCCTAAAAGATGATTTACTAAAAATATCAACATTTTTATTTGCTTTTGTTTACAACAGTCTCATCATACATTCTCATTTAAACACCCAAATTACCTGGTGTAGATTTTTATTATTCTTTTTACAAATGAAGAAGCTAACAAGTTCAAAGGCACACAACTAATGGGTGGAGACTCCAAGGTCCCCACCACCCTGAAATTACCAATTCAAAGGCTGTTTTCACTGGACCACAATGCCTCTTGCTAGTAATAACATATCAGTAAGAAAGGAACTTCTCAAGGACTCAATTTTGATTTTGTTTATAAAAGTCTATGCAGAATATATGGGCTCCCGCACTTCACTGAAAATTCTTAAATAACAAATATCAATTAATATGGACTTAATCGCTTACTATATGTTACCTGGATACCATACTAAGGATTTTACATAGGTTTTTCTCAATTAACCCCAACCCCAATAACCTATAAAGTGGATACTATTATAATCCTCGTTTTACAGGAGAAGAAAACCAATGCCTTAAGAAAAGTTAAATTAATTAGCATATTATAATATCTACTTGAATCATGAGGAACTGATGACCAACTGAATGGCTATCCAGGCCTCTGACTGTTTTTAGAAATAATCTTTAAAAAATTAGAACTCCAAAGACAATACAAAATTGTTTATGCACTGCTGCCAACTACCTAAGACACAGTACTTCACACTAGAGCAGTCTGGTGCAAGAGAAGTCCAATCTCTTCCCTACTTTTGGTCGACTCCACTTTGCCCAGTATCAAAAATGGCATTTCCATGGCAATATAAATCCATACTACACAATTTCAAAATAATTTTCATACTCCTAGATCTATCTTGAAAAACGTTATTTAAAAAGCAATATTGAAAACTAAAGAAGAAAGAACATTTCCACGAGGAGCTTAGTAATCGCCTAGAATGAATGGTAATACAGTTTACCGCATCCTCCAATGCGGAAAGGGGGCAGGACGACAATGCTCATCACAATCTTAAGCAGGCCAACAGAGTGCTAAGAAAGGGAGGCATCGGCTACATGGGGGGGGGAGGGGAGAAGCTCACTTGGTGGCGGGCTGTAGATGACCATGAGGAAGGGAAAGAAATCCGTTGGTGGCCAGCACTTCGCTAAAAAGGGTGGGTGCAGGCTGACTTCAAGGCAGAGCCTGTGACGAGTGTGTCCGAGGCCCGGAAAATTTACCTTGGGGCTTCAAAGGCTCGGGTAAGTAAGAGGTTTAGGAAAAGACTCCCCAGATGCAAGGCAATCGTGTTCTGGCTAACGTGGAGCCCAGAAAGGGCCGAGAGGAGACGATTCACTCGGTGGCGGAACGTGGAAGGAAAAGGGAAAGTGGGCGACACTGCAAAGGGGAACGCTCAGGCGGTAGGTGCGGCCTCCCCGGGCTCCGGCGCGGACCGCTGGTCTTCGAGGCCTTCGAGAAGCCCCGTGGCCTCCCCTCCCCCACCCCGGCTTTTTCTCCTCCCCTAGCAGAGGTACCCGGTCTCCCGGTTTCCACACGCGTTCAGAGACGTGAACTCACCCGCCGCTGAGGAAACAGTACTGTTTCCGCGGTCTTCTGTGATCCAGGTTACGAGTGGGCTCCACCGGTTCGAGGTTTCTGCGCGCCCCTCGCCCGGGAGACTGGTTCCGAAGCGCCTACTCGCATAGGCCGCAAACACAGCCGCGCTGCGCGGGGAGCTTCTGGAGGTCTTCCTCTTGCCCGGCGTGCACTGCGGCCGGGGGCGTGGAGCGAACGACCATAGAAAAGAAAGTATATAGATAGTCTCCGCTGTTGGCTCTGACTCACCAAGCGAAGACGAATAACCATAGAGAAGGAGCGCCCAATGGGGACTAGAAAGGCTCGAGCTGTAAATTATGACCCACCCTGCCATTTTTGATTGGAGGTAATTGAATCTTATGACTACGCGACGCCATCTTGAGGTCAAGGTTCCGACAGGGCACGGCGCGAGGGTTAGAGGATTTCTCACTTTCTGTAGTTTTTCAGGGATCAGAACTTTGCTCTGTGATTCACTGGCGTTCGAGGAACTGATAACTGGGCCCGACCCACAACCTCAGTAGAAACCCCGAGTGCTAATTTTTGCCTAGAAAACAACTACTGTTGATAACAAGAAATAACTGGCAAAGGCTGTGGTGGTTTTGTAAAGAGTGGGCATACACAGGAAAGCTGATGGCCTGTGGTAGGGCCAAAAGGGTGGCTAGAAGATGTTTGAAAACGTAAAAAAGCCTGTAAGACGGTTTAACACAGCTTTCATTCTGTAATGTAAACATGCTAAAAGAACTTCGCTTATTAGTGGAAATGAATAAAACTAATCACAAATTGGCCGGGCGCGGTGGCTCACGCCTGTAATCCTAGCACTCTGGGAGGCCGAGGCGGGCGGATTGTTTGAGCTCAGGAGTTCGAGACCAGCCTGAGCAAGAGCAAGACCCCGTCTCTACTAAAAATAGAAAATAAATTGATCGGCCAACTAAAAATATACAGAAAAAATTAGCCGGGCATGGTGGCGCATGCCTGTAGTCCCAATTACTCGGGAGGCTGCGGCAGAAGGATCGCTTGAGCCCAGGAGTGTGAGGTTGCTGTGAGCTAGGCTAACGCCATGGCACTCACTCTAGCCCAGGCAAAAGAGTGAGACTCTGTCTCAAAAAAAAAAAAAAAAAAAATCACAAATTATTATTATGTTAGATCAATTTATGTACCTTATAGGCAATATCTATTTATACGCCTTTTCTTCCCAACTGTTTGCTTCTCTGAAAGTTAATAATTTACTCAGTATAAAGTTATTGCCTCCCTGAGTACCTGACGCTGTGCTAAGTGCTGGGAGTATGAAGGTAAATGGGAGTGAGATTTGTCCCTATCCTGGAGGAATGGCGGGCAAGGTGGAATACATGACAAACACTAACCATCCTATATAAAATTGAAACATACCTACACACTGTCTTGTCTGCCTTTCCTACTTAATTTTACTCTAAAGCGCTTATAGCCATCTATCACGCCGTATATTGATCTTATTGATTTTATGGTTTGCCCCTACCCCGCTAGATTGTAAAAACTTAAGAGCGCATGGCTCGTCTGTATTTTTCACTGCTGTAGCCTCAATGCCAGAACAGCAAGCACTCAATAAATAATTGTTGAATGAAAGAAATGATTACCGTATACTGATTACCAACAGAACACAAAATGCAAGGGGAACCCTAATGAGAAAGTCTATATATAACTCATTAATACCATCTGTAAAATTTACATCCGTGTCTATTTCTGCTTGCCAGGCTTCCTTACCATTAAGTAATGTTAGTAATGCCTACTCCCCAGGACTATTGCAAGGATTAAATTAACACATGTATATGAAAGTACTTTGTTCAGTAAAGTGCTAGTCTAATGCTATTTACAATTCGTAAATAAAAAGACTTTGTGCCTTTTTTTTAACAAGCCCAGGCATAAACAAATCCTCTCAGGTTACTCTGTATCCCTCCGTATTGGAAACCTTGTACACAAATTCATGTATTACTTGTATAATAAAATAAAGCCTTATAGAGAAAGCTGATAACACCCCGTAAGCTCCGCTTCCTGTCAGATCAGCAGTGGCATTAGATTCTGCATTATGGTGAGTTGTATATTTATTTCGTTATGTATTACAATATAATAATAGAAATAAAGTGCACAATAAATGTAATGCGCTTGAATCATCCTGAAACCACCACACTGCCCACGCGTGCGCACACACACACACACATGCACACATGCGCTGAGCCCATGGAAAAATTGTCTTCCATAAAACTCGTCCTGCTGCCTTAAGAGACAGGGATAAACTTACAACCTAATCAAAGCCCAGTAATTTGCCCCTTTTTTTGTACCAGGCACCATTTTGAGCATTTTGCAAATATCAACTCCTTTAATCCTCACAACAACCCCTTAAAATAGAAACTGTTGTGATACAGGTGAAGAAACTAAGACTTGGAGAAGTTAAATAACTTGCCAAAGGTTACAAATAGTAAGTGAGCCAGTCTGGTTTCTGAGTTCATGCTCTCAACAAACAGACTATACTGCTTCATCTTATCAGAAATAATGCTAAAAAGAGGGGGAGGGAACTCTATATTTTTCACCTAACTTGAACTTGGGAGTATTTAAGCTTGGAATTAAATGAAGTCATCACTGAAGAAAGCAGAGCTAAGAGAAAATGAGAGATTTTTGACAACATCAATTGAGAACATGGTTTCAGCCATTCCTGAAGCCAGCTGTACTGCTAGACTTCTCCTTTGTAAGGCAATAAATTCTGTTTTGTAAATCAGTTTGAATTGAATTTTCTATTCCTTCTATAGAAAGACCCCTAAATGATAACACTTATATATCCCTTGTAGAGGACAGGCCAAGCCATTCATTGCAAGTCATTCACTTGCAATGCCAATCAACTTCCTCCAAGGTGTTTTTCCTTGCAGGCCCTTGCCGAGAAAAGTGGCTGTAGATAATTTGGATATTGGTGGCCATATACTGTGCATTCTGACCCTATTTCCATGGCCATATCTGACCCATATCAGGTGACCAATTAAGAAAACTTTCTTGAAAAGGAAAAACATTATTTAGCTGGACCAAGTAGATCTTCACAAGAATTGAAACTGGAGCTGTTGTGAGGAGAGCCAATTAATTAATTGATAGCAGAAGGAAAAAGTAGTGATAGGGTAGGTGAATCATGTTTAAAACAGAAGGTTACTAGAATAGGCACCTTTGTAGTCTGGATTAGGAGGAAGATTTGAATTTTTGTCGAGGCACTTTGAGATGTCATCAGAACTGCTGGAGCTAAGGTGGTATCTTGATGTTCCAGTGTCCCAGAAGCCCAGCCATGTAGCTTCAGGTCCTGCTTCATCATTCCAGGGTATATACCACTGTGTGAAAATCATCTATTTATTCACATAGTTTCTGCTATTAGACATTGAATTGTGTTCCCTGAAGGAAGGAACCAGGTGTTTATTCAACTTTAAATGGCCAAGCTAGACATATAATATTCACAAAGTTAATGTTTGATTAAAAAAATCAGAATATATCTTTAAAACATAGCAAAATAATTTTAAGCAGCCAGATAGCAATCAGTTTTTTTCTCTACATCTTTGCCTAGAGCTCTAATTCAGTCTCCTTTGCATCAAGATTCAGACTTTATGTAAATTTCAAACTACTGCCACTTGACATTATTAAAATATTTCTGTAATTATAGGAGCTAGATACGTTATTGATAACCTTCTAAAGTTATTGAAGAAAAAGTAATATTGGGTAAAAGAGGAAATGGGTGTTTAAAGAAAAGACAATTTTCCATATAAAGTGGTGAGTTAGACTATGCTTTGGGTTGTGAAAAAGAGATACTCAGGTAGCCTAGAAAAATGGAGGGTTTGTCGAAATGGAATGATAGAAATATGCAGAGTATTGGCAGCATCACTTAGCCCACCCTGGTGATCTGTGGAAGTAGAGGAAGGCTTCCTAGAGGAACCATTATCCTGAGGTGTGTCTTAACCAGGACTGCAGAGGGACGGCAAATAATATAGCATTGACGTTAGCACGACATCTGGAGATCAAGCCTGGAGTCCTCAAAAAGGTGGAGTATCTGAAGTTTACCAAGTTGTTAGGACTGTGAAAGGAGGTTAAAGTGGTCCCATATTAGTAGTGGTCCAAGGCTCTTAGCAAAAGCAAACACAAATTCTCTATGGAGAATTTAGGCTTCAGGATTCAGACATCAAATATTAGCTTAAAATTAAAAAGTTCCAAGAATTTTAGAAATATTAGGAATAAGTCACCATGAATGTGGCACATACACACATATAAAACCAATAAATTTAAATTTCCGATAAATTCAGATATTGAAATTATTACACACAGAACATGAAATAACTATGAAATGTTTAAAGAAATAATTTTCTAATTAGCAAGAAACAAGAGACCAATAAAATGAGGCAAATACAAAAAACAAATGCACTTTCAGAAATGAAAAATACAAATAATGAAACTTTTAAAACTCACTTGATGGGTTACAGAGCAGATTAGGCACAGCTGGAGGAAAAAATAGTGAAGATGAATACAAATAAGTTATCCAGTGTGTAGCAAAAAAGATAAATAAAGCCAGGTGCCATGTCTCATGCCTGTAATCTCAGCACTCTGGGAAGCCGAGAGGGGAAGATTGCTTGAGGCCAGGAGTTCAAGACCAGCCTGAGCGACATAGTGAACCCCTGTCTCTACAAAAAATACAAAAATTAGCTGAATGTGGTGGCACTCACCTGTAGTTTCAGCTACTCCAGAGGCTGAGGCAGGAAGATCATTTGAGCACAGCAGTTTGAGGCTACAGTGAGCTATGATGATGCCACTGCATTCTAGCCCCAGTATCAGAGCAAGACCCTGTCTCCAAACAAAAAAAAAAAAAAAAAAAAAAAAAAAAAAAAAAAAAAAAAAACAGATAAGTAAATGGAAAATATGAGAGTTAAGAAACATGGAGAATAGAATTAAATGTTCTCATAGGCCTCTAACTGGAGTTGCAAAAGAAAAGTGAGGGACGGTATTCAAAGAGACAATTCAGATACAAGAAGTCCAACTATTATCAAGTTAGGCGAATAAAAAGAAATCCACACCTAGATACATTATGGTAAAGTGACGAAATCAATGACAAAGATCTTAAAAACAGGCATAGTAAAAAGACAGATGAGGCTGGGCATGGTGGCTCATGTCTGTTAATCTTAGCACTTTGGGAGGCCAAGGAGGGAGGATCACTTGAGGCCAGGAGTTTGAGGCCATCCTGAGCAACATGGTGAGACCCATC